GAGGCACTTGCCATCACTAGTGAAGTTTCCCTTTGATTGTCATTATTTACAAATGCTGTCCATGCTGTCCATTTTCAATGAACTTTACCTGAAGTGGTAGTATAATAGTACAAGTCACCGCACTTCAATTTGTCTAAAGTGGGGATACGCCGTAGTTGATTTTCAATTGTGATCGCCTACAGTAATTATTGTTAAATTTTGTTTTATAATTTTTTGTCAGTAATTTAATTAGTAATTATTTTGTTAATAAACTTTTTTTTTACATAAATTTGTTTTTTACATATTCTCTTTCTTAGATTCAAAGGACTTTTCTTTACTCTACCAAATTTAATTAAAACAGTGTAAATGTGCTATTTAAAACCCTAAGGATTTAAAATTATTAATTAGTTCTGGTTTAAAATTATCTCCCTGATGTTCTCTCCCCTAAGCAAATTCACGTATATACCTAAAGGTCAAATTCAAAATATCGGCGTCAAATTTCCTATCGGCCTTAAGCAACTGGAGGTTTTACCGTTAAGTAGACCAAGTCATTCCTTAGGATGATTTACATTTCATTTGAAATAATAGAAACACAGCCTGGGGGCTATAAGAAGTAAATTATCCAATCCAGTTCGGTGCTAATGCATAAATACGACAGCCATAAATATAGAAAATTAAAATTGAATTTGTATATAAATTTAGATACCTGGGAATATATACTTAGATATTATGGTATAGCAGAGGCGCAACACAAGAAAGTAAACGGAAATGATAAAATCGTATTATAAAATTACAATGATAAAAATGATTATGGATAAAACTTTATTTAGTTTTTATAATGGCATTTGTAGGTGTAATCGTAACAAACTCCGATCCAAATGCCCAAAGACTATAATATGAAAGAAGAAGAAGTAACTAATGCCATAAACTATTCTCAAACTGAAAATAAATCGCAAATTAAAATCCGATAAGTTCGGAAACAAATCTCAAAAATCTCTCTACGAATTATTTAGACTATCCCCGAACCTCAAAGGTGAAAACAAATTCATGGAGATTTAAAAAAAGCCTGTCGAAGTCGGGATTTGAACCCAGACATCCTTGTTCTTTAGACAAATGCCATTTCCTCTAGATTATCAACAACATTGACAGTCGAGAGTTCTAGACAGAAATTTGATGTGCTAATTCGGGCCAGACGACGTTCAGGGTCGTTCTCAAATCGGCATAAATTAGAAATGCATTTATGAGTGTGAAAATTGCGAATCCGAAAAGTCATAAATATCTGAAATAAGTGGCTGTAACATTTTAAAATCAGCTTATTTATTAACACTATGTTCCATTTTAAAAAAGCACTTTTTTATAACTATAACTAGCAAAGCATAGATAAACGGTAAACATGCGACAGTATTCCAGGCAGAAATAGCAGCAATACATCATTGCGCAAAAGAGGTATTAAGACAGAAGGTCAATGGAAAAACCATTGTCATATACTCAGACAGTCAAGCGACGTTAAAGGCACTCAGTTTTATGCAGGTACAGTCAAAGCTTGTGTGGGACTGTTTGGAAGCCTTAACAGAGCTGGGTAGTCAAAACAGACTAACCTTAGCCTGGGTACCAGGCCACAGAGGACATAAGGGCAATGAAGAGGCTGATTTGCTAGTCCGAGAAGGAGCGTCAAAGGCTCTTATTGGCCCAGAACCCTTCTGTGGTGTAACAAAAACAACCATCAAAACATGCACAAAGCAGTGGATGTTTAAAAAATCTCAGGAGTGGTGAAAAAACTCTCCAGGACAGAGACAGGCCAAAGAGTTCATAAAAGGACCATCGGCTAAACTCACCGAGCATCTACTAAGCCTTAATAGGAAAAATACTAGAGTACTAGTAGGTCTATTAACAGGGGATTGTAGGCTTAACAAACATATGTATAATATCTGTCTGACAGAAGAGACCTTGTGCCGATTCTGTCAGGAAGGGGAGGAAACGGCAGTACACGTATTGTGCTACTGCGAAGGTCTATCAAGACTGAGATTGCTTACACTTGGAGAAGAAAAACCAAGGGCAACTAGCTATACCGGAGAACTACTTCCCAGTCTATGGAGTCTACTACAAAATACCGAATTAGATAAGTTACTCTAAATAACGATTCAAGGATATCCACAATAGATCTGAAAAGGTCGAGGTGGGGGAGGCCACATGGCCCACGGTCCTAATTAAATCTAATATAATCTAATACAATCCCTGCAACCGTCGAATGTCCGCAACGGCAAGACTTTTATGGAATATAAATAACACAGAGGTTACAAAGTGAAGCTTGGAAAACATCATATTATCCCGAAAGTTGCTCTGAAACTTTCTATAGATGTTATAATGTGAATTAGTTCTACATCATTATACAGTGTGTCCATGGATGGACTTAACTATACTTGGGAAAATATTTGTTTTAAATTAAAAAAATAATTCTTCATAATTTCTTGTACTTGATAAATAAATTCACATTGGGAAATTATGAAAAATAACTTTTTTTTAAAATAAATATTTTTACAAGTATAATTAAGTCCATCCGTGGACACACTATATATTGTTATTTGTGTAATGTAATACAGAGAGGCTGAAATTGAGGTCATAGTAAAATCTCAATCGAGTCATGGAAATTTCAAATAAAACAAAATATATAAATTTATTATTAAAATGTTCTTGAAATCAAGTAGCAATATCACAAAAGTAGAGGTAGGTATATCACAAACGCAGTTACACATGTGCGATAATAAAAGCCACCTATAAAGCACTGAACGATTGGACAAAATTAGCTTAATAGTATAATAAGGTATCAATATTGCAAAGGTTCACTAGATAGAAGCTTAAATAGTGAACGATTGTACAAAAGTATATTTATATAAGGTACGTTTCAAGATGACAATTGTATGATGCTAATACGGTAAATAATAGGTGATTGCAACAATGACTAGGTATATATTATACGAGATATAGACGTACCATGTACCTAGCTGTAAATTCACTTTTTATAAAATTTCAGTTGTTATGTATTCTTCTTTACACAAGTCTGTAGTATTTACTTTTGCTTCTAAAATTCCTAGAAGGTCTCAGGACATCAGGTATAAAGGAAACCTAAAATATAATATTTCTAAAATTGTATTTTTAGTTCGATTAAGTATATTATACCTCTTATATAAGTATTTATAAGTAAAATGTAACTGGACATTCGGTTAATTGTTTATCTTCTCGTTTACGACGTTTATCTACACCATTCTTTGTTTGTATAGTAAAACCATTTTGTTATTTTGTGTAGGTACCTAATGAATGAAATATTTAAATTTACACCAGGCATTGTAATCTGAAACGAAGAAAACGGTTTAGAAAATAGTTTTCTATTTTATAGATCATCCTTACCAATTCTACTCAAATGTAAAAAAAATATTTATAAAATAGATAAAGTCGAAAAACAACCATCAAAAACATGACATATGACAAGAAAAAGTGACAAGTGACAATTGACATACACTATGGACATAAACATGAACGTTCCGAATTCAGATTAGATGTTCATAGTACTTTTTGTGGATACTTTTTTTTAGCAAATTACTTTATTACGTTGTGTTAACATAACAGGTAAGTTAAATAGATAAGTAACAAATAGAAGTTTTGCGAGGTTTTGATTTCCCTCAACAACTCATGAACGTTGCATTTACGTTGTATAGTAATGTTATTATGTTTCCTCAAAGCAACATCGCCGAAAGGCTTGGCAACGTTATGTGCTAGCTGGGTTGGGTTCTGATTAACAGTGCTCTTCCTAAAGTGGCGCTAGTAAAGAGTAACAAAGCCTACAAAGACCACGAAGCTAATAACCTTAGTAGTTGATACAGTTGATACCGATGACACCAAATTAAAAAAAAAAAAACAATGAACTCGTTAACGTAACCTAAATCAGTGATATTTTTGAAATTACTCTTGTCAACATCGCACCTAGGTATACCAATAATTGTCATAATGACATTTCTTCCAACCAAAATGGCTGCCGGTGGGAAGGGTTGGTATATCTAAAGTTGCGACATACCGTGTATTGTATCTACAATACGTGAAATAATGAATTATGAATTACATTTTAATTTTTTTTATGTCGAACGCAATAAAAATATTAGCTATTACAAAAAAAATGCTTATACACTTTTTATAAATTGGCAGGCTTGGCGATTACTATTTCGATTAAAAATAGCGCCTAAGATGAAAGACTATGTCGCAACCCCCTACGAGCCCTTCTCACAGGCACACGTCGTCAAACAACATGCAAAACAGAATGGTCGCCAGTAGGCATTGATATGGCAACCCTGTAGACAGTAGCGGCTTGTAACCAATATATTGGGGGTTCACAATGACAGAATATAGACACTGTCAGTGTTTTGGAAAGTTATATTAGAAACTGTGAAAGTTTTTTCCTAAATCTGTACTGAGATTTATATATTATGTCACCCCAATATTTTTGTCACAAGCCGACACTGCCTGTGGGTCTGGTGGATTTGACAGGGTCAATGATAAGATAGTTATATAGATTGATCATTCATGTTGTATAAAATAAACCTATGGTCATGTATTTAAGTAAAAATGTAAGTAATTATTTTTTTACTGTATTCAAAGGCTGAAAATTGTTTTTATAACTTTTTTTTGGCTAAACCAATTCTAATTAAGTAATATTTTTATAAATTTTATATTATTAAGAATAAGGACGTGTTATAAATATGCTAACATAATTGAAATAATTCTAAAATTATCAAAATAGTGCCGTAAAGAGTTCTCATATTAAAAAGCCTATAGTTCTGAATCAGTTCAGGATTATTTGCGCGTACCTACAAACCTATTATTAACTTTTTAAATTAGTAGTTGAAACATGAACATATTTTTTGTCGAAAAAAAAAGTGATATAAACTTTTTCCTACTGATATTCACACGATATTCCTTATTTTGTAATTAATTGTTTCTAAAATCTTTTTTATACATATTTTTTTTTTCAGATGTGCGGGCAATCAGTAACATCTCACGTGCTTGGTGACGAGTGTAATAGTGATTGGGAATGCAGAGAAAATATCACAGGATCTATCTGTCACAGAGGCAGATGTGCATGCCAACCTTTTTACGCCAGAATCAATCAGACGTCCTGCTTACAAGGTATATTTACTTATTTGTTTTTGTTATTATTTACAAGACTTTATTTGACATTATTGCCCAAAATGTGTTGTCATCAATTAACTCCTAATTTTACTTGTAATACTTATTCAATACATTAACGTAAACAATGTACAACTTATCATTAAATTGAAGAAAAAGAAAGCTATTGTGAAAAAATAAATCAAACAGTGTTTATGCAAATTACAAGAATGAAATTATGTAATTTTTACAATGTTTTCAATTAAAATTAGCAAATTCGTTTGACTACATATCGTCATTAAGAATGTATCAAGTAGATAAGTGTTAATGTAACTTCGTTATAAAACAATGTCGATTAAATTAAATATTTTAAAGTCAATGATGTAATTTTAGGAAAATATACAAGACTTTTGTTTCAAATTTGTCATTGACTAAGCTTAAAATTGTTGTTGAATTGACTTACTTCCGATTAACTGATAAATTATTTTAGTTTTTGTGTGGGTATGAATTGTTTAAAATATTAGCTTTGCCTTGTAACCGCTGATGTTTTTACAAATTAAGTTATTAAAGCTCATTAATAAGGATCGTGGATAAGGCACTAGGATATAATAACTCAATTACTCTGAAATTAGGAAATGGACGCCACCGTATTTAAATTCGCATATCTCTACATATAAAAGGAAATGATGAAAATACCCATGCAGAAATTACTATTAAATTAAATGAAAAATAAAGGACATGCCTTCAGTAGATACGGGAAAACCAAATTATAATCTACATGAGTTTCTATTAATAAAATGACTGTTAAAGTTATCTATTTTGTAATATTATTCGGTACAATATAAAGTGATTTATATTAATGAGAATGGGCTTCATAAAGAAGTAGAACAGGTTTCATCGACGATTAAAGATCTCCAATAGCCTATGGTACTTCTTAGGTCTTCAAGACGTTAACTACTACCAAATCAGCAAATCTTTGTATTCTTTTAGACGTTAATCATTAATTATGTTCTTACAATCTCAAAACATTGACTATTGTGCAAATCAGCAAATCCTTCTTCATGTAACAAGGTAATAAACTCATAATCATTCTTCATTCTTCCAATCAAAAAAACCATTGTAATGTTGCATAGCTAAAATATTTCGACCTTTTAATGGATAATCGGATAGGTAGGACGGATGAGACAAACGTTTTGAATAATAATAAAATATATCTATTTTAGAGAAACTAATTTATTCAAAAATATAATCTCAAAGAGTTAAAAATATAAAACCCGTTAATCTTTGATAATCAGTGTATGAAACCAAAAATGTTATATCTATTACTTACCAAAATTAACCTAATGGTTTTTAAAAGGCCCCGAATTGTCATCGCAGGGAAAGAGATGGGGCAATAGAGGTGTTTGAAAAATAACGGTATGAAAGACTTTACATCTTCATGTCTACAAAAAAATATACTAAACTAGCAAACCCGGTAGCAGACATTATTCTGCCATAGACCTGGATCCAAACAACAGCGCCACCTACCGGGTCCAACTATAGCTAAGAACCATCCAGGGCTCCTATTCTCGACGAATTTCGATGAAATAGACGAGTGAAGCAACCGCTTCACACACTATTCACACAACACATAAATGCTGGATTCTCGGGGAAAATGAATTCACGTTCATTCGGACCCATGTTGCCATATTTATATGATGTATTTGGTACACGTTTTATGTCACTTTTAGGCTATATTGTAGAAATTAACTTCGAAAATTCACTTTCCATTCATTCCATCACCTATCGCATTCACGTAAGGTTTTGTTTAAATAATTGGGATAAAAAGTTTTAAAGTAAAATAATAAACCAAAACGTTTGAAATGAGTGGAAATAGTTAATCAAATATAGATTCCCTCATCTTAAAAATCTTCGAGGATTCTGAATATCGCCTTCTAACTTTTGCAATTAATTTATTGCCAAAAAACGACAACCACATCTTTTTTCATGTCTTGAACTATTTTATTTAAACATTTGCTAGGATTTTTGTTAAAAATTCAACTCTCCAACAATGACAAATCAAAACTTTGCTGTTATGCTTTGAGTTACACCTGTGACACCTTATAAAACTATATTTAAACAAAAAGACAACCACACTAATAACTTTGACTTCATAATAATAAATAATCACATAATATGATAGAAGACTCGACAGACGACATAACCTTAAAAGATGGTTTTATCCGAAATATCTAACATCCACATGATAAAACCCATTTAAACTTGTCTCACAATCTTTCATGTGAAGTGAACACTCGTCGATTTGCCAAGAATATGATTTGTGCAAATTTCATGTGAATTATCCAACGAGTGAACAATTCACACAGCTCGAGAATTAACAGAAACTGTCAAAGCAACTACCAGGGTGATACCAAAAGAGTTTCTCGAGGTGTACAACAAGATACTAAAAATGCAGACTTTCCCGAGGTTTTGGAAGAAGGCAAGAGTAACACTTATCCCGAAAGGATTCATAGAAATTCTAAAATGTAGACCAATATGCATTCTAGACATATTAGGTAAGCTTCTAGAACACTTAATTAAAATCAAACTGGATGACCACGTAACACACTCTGAGGCTCAATACAGATTTTGAAAAGAGAAAACCACGGTGGACGCCACTGAAGCAATCATTGGGGACACTAGACACCATTGGCAAGGAAAAGATCTGCATTGACGTTAAAAACGCATTCAACGCCGCGAAATGGAAACTAAACTCGAGAAGACTGCCGGAAAATGGTACGATGAGGTGGCTAGTGTACTTAGGAACACAACAAAAAGATGACCCAAGGGGTCCTTAAAGGGTACGTACTTGATCCAATATTATGGATTGTCCTTTACGACGAGGTACTAAAACTAGAGCTTCCTCCAGACTGTCAAACAGTAGCGTACGCGGACGACCTTATCCTGATTGTAAGATCAGGCTTTAGAGCAGGACTAATGGAGAGAACAAACACCTCCTTTGCTAGGATCACGGAATTGATGCACAGAAACCATCTTACGCTGGTTGAGTAACGTGGTGCACTCGATCCTCCTTTACGGAGCACCGGTGTGGCATAAGGTCTCAAACACCAAAAAATCACACGATTAAACTAATGATTCAGTAAAGGATAAGGTTGCACGCACAAAAATAAAGGGGCGTAGATATTACTGAAGTCGTCAGGCCGAAAGAAAAAGTTCAAACCAGAGTTGCATGGCAAAGAGTGTGACACGTTTATTTTCACTTGTGTGATTTGGAAGTCGTGGGTGGCGCCAGGATGTTATTTAGACCAAGGGTTTCCTGGGCGCCAGTTTTGATTACGCAGTTTGCTCTGCGACCCTCAAGTGCACCTAGAATGCATTCAAAGTAACCTCAGTGGAGGCAGTATCTCTAGGCGGTCGTTTGCATATAGTACCTAAATAAAATAAAAACTAATAATATCCACTTCCAACCAACCTAAAACGGTGCAATCACTTTTGTATTTCTTACTCTTACTCACTGAGCTAGATATAAGGTGGTATAGTTAAAAGAAACACAGGAAATTTATGTATAATAATATATTTTATATCAACGGTAACCACGGAGGAGCAATATTAAACCCAAATAATAACGGTTTTTATATACAACAAATTACCCACAAAAATAATAGTAAAACTAAGATAATAAATATAAAGTAGTAAGATAAATGCTCTTAATATTTCGGAAAATCAAATTCAATTAGCAGTATAATTGAATCTTTAGAATATTTTACGTACATTAAATAAGAAAAATAAAATAATTAAAATAATAAACGGTTGAATAAAAATCAGAGGTTAAACATATTTCTCAAACTCACGTCTCTAACCCTGCTGAGACAAAAGAAAAAAGAAAGCAATATTAGGACATTGGACGATATAAACTTGTTTACCCGGTATACAGTATGGGACAAATGAAAGAAATACATCAATTATTTCATAACTCGTTGACACTTCTAAAACCTCGGAAACCCTTCATTGAATCACATGAATACTGATAATTTGACAGACAAATCCACAGCAATTTCCCCATGGTACGAAATCAAAAAAGTTTTCACTATTTTCCTTTTACGAGATCCACTTTGTACTTGCTGAAACCGTGTAATGGAAAATAAATAAATAACGACATCAGATCGTCTAAGCTTGATCAACCACTTCATCGATTAAAAATCGTTACGAAATATTATTCAAAGATATATTAAAACTATCTAAGAAAACGAAATTAACGATGTTATCTTAAAAAAAGAACAATGAAAGACATTTTTGCTATATTTTCGCAAAGTCATGGCATCGTGAGTTTTTTTTTTTAACTGATCGACTAAACTTATCCCGCTGGTAATTAAACAAATTACTGTCATTCTACAATTACCTCTAATTGTGGAGAGAACAAAAAAATGGCATCCTTCCTTACTCTGGGAAATCGTCTTGGAAACTAATGTCATCTCTACTTTTAATCTTCTTGATTCTCATGTCTCGAGTCTCTCGGTAGACATGAAATTTTATAATTATTATTTCCTACGTGGCATGCCGTTTAAGTTTATTCAAATGTGGTTGAGTTAATGAGAAAAATAAAACTCCTGTAATTAGTCCTGGCCTTTCTAAAAAACAAATGATAACAATGACCCCAACGCCCAGGGTGCAAATTAATTAATTAATTCTTGTTTATAAGGCTCGAGTCGAGTAAGTTCTCATTCTTTTTGTTGAATCGAAACCTGCTAGATCCATTCCATCCGCCCCTTTGCTTACGTCTCTACAGGATCCTCAAGTCAAAAGCAATTGATTAGTAATTCCATATTTTCTAAAAGGGCATGCAAGTTGGCATATTTTCGTTTTAACTGGAACGCGGTGAGGCTTTGTTCTTGTGAATCGTTCTCTGTGTGTGACATGCACGTTTAGTGTGCATTCTGTTTCTGTCACTGTTCAGTGAATTCTCGGCTTGTCCCACCAGTGGAACGATACACGTTCATGCCGATTTAATCAAAAATAGCACA